TCCCCACCCTCCTCTCCCCTCCTCCGGATCGATGTTGCAGAGTGCTGCAGGAAGGCAACCGAACTTGGCCCTCTCGATAAGGCGCGATGTGTTCATTTTCCTGCTGCTGCTGCTGAGTACCCCCTCCCTCCCCCGCTCCTCTGGGTGACTGTGGCCCGATATCATTATTATTCGCTGCTAAAAGCGAAGCAGCAGCGGAGGAAAATCACTCACTCCTCGTCGCCGTCGAGTGGCGTGGCTGGGTCCCCGCCGGAACACTCCAGCGTAACGCTCGCCTTATTATATCCCCGCAATTATTAACGTGCTCCGCTCGCTGATAATCGTGTTGGGTTGCGGGCAATCTGACGAGAGAGAGAGAGAGAGAGAGGGGGCGGGGGGGCTGTCAGGGGCCCGCCTCGAGACCCCCGAGTGTGCGCCACTTCAGTCTGGGGGGGTTAATCCCGTGTGCGTTGGCGTGGCGTGGCGTGGCGCGGTAATTCATTTTACTTGGACTCGGGGCTCCCCCGCCCGGCCGCCCCCTGGAGGGCCCCACTGCTGCTGGAGGGCTGAGGGGCGGCCTGCGGCCCAAACAGCGCGCCCCTTTCGCTTTCTTGCACCCCCCCCCCTTCCTCTTCTCCCTCTGCCCTTCCCGTCCGGCTCCGTCTAGGGTTCCGGGCCGTCCCTCTCACCCCCTCGGCCCCGTCCGCCACTCTGCCGGCGGCGAGAAGACAAGTTCCCGCGTAAATAGGCTGCCCCGGGGGAATTGTTTCGTTCGATTCAGAAACAGCCAGCAGCAGCAGCGGCAGAAGCAGCAGCTGGCGTCGTGGAAATTCCAGCCGTGCCTTCCGTAGTCGTCCTTCATTATGTACATCTTCTGCTCAGGGTGACAAAGCCATAAGGCGCGCACACCGAGAATAACATCCCGTCGAACTTGGGTGACAGGAAAGTGAAGGTGGAATCTATAACGTCCTGCCGGAAGAAAAGTCTCTCTTGTGGCATCTAAGGCGCCTGCGAGGCTCAGGATAGGCCACCCCGCATTTCACGCATGCGCTGCAGGCAAGATATTGCCTACCCATCAGGCGCTATGAGAGCTCCCGCTTGCGTAGGCTGAGGCTGAACAGTTCGTACCTGGAATTCCCGTTAGATATTTTCGACACCATATGTAGACTGAACGGCACTCAGTTTAACGGTGCGTCTCGAAAGACGCGCAGTATTTACCGCCCTAAAGGAACTGCGTGAGTTTTGAACTGAGCGTCTTTCTGAGCGGGCGGCTGGATTGTGTTAGTCTTGTAACTGGACTGCGTGCCTTTCAGTCTGGGGTGAGGATTTGTCATTGTTTCAGAATAAAAGAACACTCACTATGTACCTTGCGCTCGGTAGGAGGGTACGCTGGCACCCTGCTTCTCTCATAGGTACTTAGTTTATATTTTGTCCACACACGTCGCGCGTCGCGCAGGCCCCTTGCTCGCGCGCTCCGTTGTGCTCCGCTGTGCTCGGCGACCGCTCCCCGCCGGCGGTGACCTGGGGTTGTGCGAGAGGGGCGGGCGCAGACACCGACCCGTCGCTGCGTCTGCGTCGCTGCAGATTAATTTTAATGAACCGCCGTGCTCGTGTGGTGCGTGACGCTGCTGCTGGTGCTGCTGCTGGTGCTGCTGCTGCTGCACCCCTTAGTGTGAACTCATCGGGACGACCGCGAGCAACCGCAGCAGCGCCCCGCGTCACAACGTCCCGCCCCCCGCCCCGCCCCGCCCTGCAGGCGTCTGGCCGTTTGCACGAGTTTGAGCGCCTGCTGCACTGCGGTAGACAAATAGCGGCGTCAGCGTGGTGCGGAGAAAGTTGTCCCCCCTCTCTCTCGCCTACACTCCCCGTCCGTCCTACTGCCTCCCCCCCCTCTTCCTCGCGCCAACTAATGCGTCGTGCCTAATGCTCTCTGCCTCCAGTCCCGGACCACATCCGGCCGCGGGTCTGCTCGCTGCCGGAGAAGCCCTACAACCCCCGGTCGGGGGACGACCTCTACCGGCTGCGCACCTTCTCCATCACCAACAAGGGTGGCGTCGTCAACTGCGGCGACTCCATCATCAACAGGCGCTCCCGCTCCAACACCAGCGTCAACTCGACGGCCAGCAGGTAGGCAGGAGCGCAAGGATTGAGGTGTTCACTGCAAAAACAAAGGTGTTTCCGAATGCGTTTTAAAAGGCGCCAGAGGAGAAATACAAGGAGCTAGCTACTGGCCTCCAAAGGTCCAAAGGTAATTATAGTACCTTTACGAAAGCACTACTGCAGCTACTAGTAGCACGTTTTATAAGGTGTTATTATAGCACCTTTGTCTTTTGTTTTGTTTAGTGCGTCTGGTTAAGGGTGCATGAGATTCTGAAAACACAGGGGTGACGCTGCACTGGACGTGGTATGCAGGATGTAGACTGGAGACGATTGTTGTTTATTATTGGGTTTTCGAGGTCTCTTATTGGCCGATTTCTAGTCAAGAATGTATCCGACAATCAACAATAGATCCCAGTATAAACTCTGCACAAGACATGTCCCTGATCGGGTTATGTTTATCTCTCGCAATCGAAGTTTTGATGTCATTTCACTCGTGGCCCGATTTCCACTAACGGCCATAAAACAAACAAAAACACTATACTTGTAGATATTGCCCTTTCCTGGCGGGATTAGTCGAGACTCCAGAGGCGCGGTTGGGGCGGGCGTGAGGGGATGACATAACGATAGTCGATAGCGGGGGTTGCATGCTGATTAGCGGGGGAGTAGGAGTAGGAGGGGTGTGGACGGGGGAGGAGGGGTGGATCGGGGTTGAGTAAGGGGCCGGCGAGGGTGGGCCTAAAGTTCGTCAACCTGCCCCCCGCGCCTCCCCTCCATTGCCGCCCCCCGCCGTGCCTCCGCCGGCCCCGTCCAGGCCGCCAGGCCCGCCGCCAGGCAGGCCCGCTGGACGCCATCGCCTTTGTGTTTGGCGGGGAGGCTCCTTGTCTTCGGCGAGCTTGACAGGTGTCAAGCTGCTAATTACAGCCCTTCCCACCCTAACCCCTACCCTACCCCTAGTCGAACCAGGGAAAAAGTGCATTCTTAAGCTTTTAGCGTCTAGAGATGATTTGGACTCTGGTTTTGTCAACACGAAACTGTTTGACATTAAATCTGACGTCATTGCCTCTACTTGAGTTGAATGCTAAGTTATTGCTGTGAATTACGACGATAGTCGCACGGAGCAGGCACTAAACTAGGCGCACCACTTGAGGTTTCTTGGATCGCTTCCAAACTCCGGTGATAGAAGTGTAATAAGTCTACACTGCCACCACTGGCTCTAGCTATACGCCGTTACACAGATTGATCACCTGGCTATTTCATTTTGTAAGTGGTTGTAAGTCTAATCTAGGTGTACGTACGCCGGGCCACGTCTCGCGTAACAGGCTTCGCGATATCTCACGAAGGAGGCGACTGCGACGCTCTTTGGCGCACACAGTACACTCTCACGCTCTTTTCCTCTTTTCCTCCTTGGGTGCTGGTGCCCCCGGCCGACGCCCTGCCCAGCTGAGCCTGAGGGGTCTCAGGACAACGTGGCGAGCTTCGACCTCGGGCCTGACAAGCGTGACAAATTGACACGTAGCGATTGATTTAAGGCCTTGCGCTCCGCAGGGGTCGCCTCCCCTTCCCCCACCGTTCTCTTGCCTCTCATCCCCAGACTCTCGCCAGCGGACCTCCTCCTGGACCAAATTATTCCAGTGTCGTGGCATAGCTTGGCAAAGCGTATTGGCGTGGCGTGGCGTGGCCTGGCACTGTAGGTGACTGACGCAGGACATGATCCCCTCCCCTCTCATCGGAATCCGATGGCGGCTGCTGCGGGGCTGTCATCGCGGTGTGTCGCTGTGTCGTCGCTGTGTCGTCGCTCAGCGGAGGTCGAGTGAAAAGGAGACCCCCCGTCAAGCCCCGCCCCGCCGCGCTCCCGCCAAGCCTCGCCTCACCCCGCCTCGCTACGCCTCGCCCCACGCCTCGTCCTCCAGCCAGCACGACCCCGTCCCCGCCGGTGCGGCGGGATTTGTGTGTTCGCCTTGTCAGCAGTGAGCGTGGAGCGAGAACTACCATCAGTCTGTAAACTGTGCAAAAAATAGCCTTGCGTCGAAACAACAACATACTGATAAACAGATATACAACCTCCACCCCCCCCCCCTCTGTCTCTCTCTCTCGCACGCACACAATGCGCATTTTCCCTCTTTCGTACTCGGCAATAAATCTACGTATAGAACGTAGTTTGCCAATCGTAAAGTTTACCTGACATTTAGGTCGCCTTTTGAAAGGTCAATTATTTAAACGCATTACAGTTAAATATTTTTCGCGATTGAATGAAATTTAGCTGTCAATTTTCGACCACTCACTCGATCGCCGCCTGGCGGAAAGGTCTGTCTGTTTCTCTCGGTCTCTCCTCGTGCCATTCGACGCTTTGACTCGGCAACGCCACAATGCTTTGATGTTAGATACCTAATGGATTAGGGCACACCGAGTGCACCGAGAGGTAGCTTTCGGAGAAGTACGACGGACGTCCCATTCAAACTGCCGTGTCAAAGCGAATAACTACTCAAACTACAAACTACGCCTCTGTACTCGTAGATTGAGCCGAAGATTTGTAGAGTAAATGTAAGAAGATTTTTAAAGTATATGATACACTCATTGAGCATTGCAAGTCCTTGAAAATGAGGGGAACCGTATTGAAGTATCGGGGACACATTTCCTGTGGTGTGTCGGCGGCTCCTCTCTTCTTTTCTGGGGACAGCAGTGGGTCCAGGGACATCTTGGGTCGAAAATAGAGGTCCCTCGGCCGTTATCATTCGATATCATTCGACATCATTGCCCTTTGCCTCCCATCGATGTCTCATCCTCTTCCCATCCGAGCGGGCCCTCGGGTCCAGGAGAAGGGGTGTGAGAGGGGACGGGCTGAGAGAGAGACGCGAGGGATGGTGGAAGGCGAGGGCGAGGCGAGTGGGTCGCGCCGCCTGCTGAGCCGTACACCTTGGGGCGGCCTCCTGAGTGCCATCATTACTCTTCACAGGGACCGCTCCGTTATATATCTATAACGTATATCGACTTTTCTGTGCCGTTTTCTTCCATTGATACTGCCGTCGGTTTGTTATTGTGCGTGGAAAGTTAACCTATTAATCAAGTGGAAATCGTGCATGGCGTAAAAAATAATACGCAGAAAAGTTCACTCTTAAAAGTCAAGTAAATTTTACTTGTTCTTTTGTTCACTGCAAATGCAGGAGTCACGCTTATATATGGAGCGATGTTCCCATCACTTACCTCAATTGAGCGTCAAAAACAAAAAATTGCAAAAGGAGAATTTCCGCCACCCTGTTTTGACGAGATATTACAACTCCGGCAGTTCCAGTGTTTGATTTCATAAATCAAGAAAATAATCGTGTATAGATCTAACGCACCCCGGAAATTGCAGCACACCGAACTAACTGTCCGCAGACGTCGGAACAACTTGATTGACGAAATAACTGGCCTGTCAGGTTTGCAAAAACTTCGGTAAACTTGTGCGTATTTTACTTTGTTCAGGACGGCACATGGAGATTCGGCGTCTGGATTTGAACTCTGTGGAGGAGGAGAAGCATGACGAAGTGCGGCGCGACGTCTGATCCTGGGCCCGGCTCTGATTCCCCTCTGTAGGATAAGTCCTCCATGAGCTCCTTGACGGCCTGGGGATCTGACGGGCAGAGAAAATCACTCCCAGCCCGACTCGAGCGTACGCATGTATATTGTCAAATCCTTTGCGGTGGTGGATTGCTTCAGATTGCAAACAACTTGTTTTTAACGCACCTCACATGCTACATTCGCATACCGTCTGCGAGGCTTACATGCAAGGAGACCAAAACGTTGTGAGCGCAGTTTTCTCCAACAGTGCTACTCCACCGCGCTGCCGCAGCTTGCTCCACTCCGCCAAACCCCACAACAACAGCCCATGCCGTCTGCCATGACATAACGACCCCGGGATGCGGCAGCGGTGCGCACATCAGGATTTATTCCTCCGCGCTGCTGGAGAATAAGGACGCTGTACGCTCCCACTCTTTATCTCGATACACCCTCTTTTTTCCTCCTCTTTTCTCTCCCTTTGTCTCTCTCTCTCTCTCTCTCTCTCTCTCTCTCTCCCTCTCTGTGTTTTCTGCGCACCTTATCGTACACAGCTCTCACCCTTTCTCCTTTCTCTCCCGTTCTCCCTTTCTATCTCTCCCCCACCCCCCACCTCCCCACCTCCCTTGTGCTAAAGCCTCGCCTCTGTGCCGTCTGCTCTGTCTCTGAAAGCCGCACGCCATATCTGATCTGATGAAAATTGGTTTCTGTACGATTCCAATCGAACACGTCAACGTCAGGCTTACAGAGAGATGAAAGAGAAAGAGCGGTATTAATGAGAATCGGGCCTATCTTCGAGCTGCCACACCACCGCCCACCACATATACACACTTTTCACGTGCGCCGGTCCCTGATGAGTCGATACGCCCTTCCGTCCGCTCCCCACTGCCACGCCAGGCCGATTAGGAGTCTTCCCGCTTCTACCTCCCCGGTTCCGCCCGCAAGCACTTTAACTCCAGCCCACAACTCTTGTTAGTTGTCTTCCGCCGCGGTGTTTGGCGGCTCCGCGGGGCTCCGGCCGAGCGTGGCGAATGCCGTGTAGTGACCCCTCCCCAATCCACCCTGCAACCGTAGAGAGAAGGAGGGGGTCCAGGGAGTACACGCGTAAAGTCGAGGGGGCAATAACTCCGAATTCAAGTGTACGCATGATTCCCGGAATCCATGATTCTCATTGATTCCCGTCGCGATTCTCATTGATTTCCGCTGGTTTCTGTCGTGATTCTCATTGATTCCTGCTGATTCCCAGTGATTCCCGGGCCAGTGTGTACACATGATTCCCAGAGTTATTGCCCCCTCGCTTAAAGTGATATGGGCTTGGTTTCAAGGCAAAAGATGTAATTTTCAAGCAAAAATTGCTTGGGAATTATCACGTTCACGTTCGCTTGGAAACCAAGCCAATCACTTTTAGCGTGTATGGGGCGGAGGATCCAGGAGGCGGGAGGAGAGCCGACGCAGGGAAGCACCGCTGCTGGTCTCCTCCTTCCTGCTCTCCG